CCCCCCCCCCTTTTTTTAAGATTTTTTTCTTTTTTGGAAAGGCAGATATACAGAAACAAAGATCTGTCCTCTGTTTCATTCTCCAAGTGGTCCCAACAGCTGCGGCTGAGCCAGTCCAAAGCTAGAGACCAGGAGCTTCTTCAGGGCCTCCCATCTGGGTGCAGGGTCCCAAGGTTTTGGGTTGTCTGTGACTTCTTTTCCAAGGCCACAAGCAGGGAGCTGAACAGGAAGTGGAGCAGTGGGATACAAACTAGCACCTTTAAAGGATCCCAGCAGATGCAAAGCAAGGATTTAGCCCCTAGGCTATCATACCAGTCCCGAGTCCTTGGGCCCCTGTGCCCACATGAGAGACCAGAAAGAGGTTTGAGGCTCCTGGCTCCTGGTTCTGGACCAGCCCAGCCCATTCCCAGCTATTATGGCCATTCAGGAAGTAAGCTAACAGATGGAAGATCTTTCTGTCTTTCCTCTCTGTAACTCTGCCTATCCAGTAAAATAAACAAATCATTTAAAAATGATTTACTTGAAGGAGTCACAAAGAGACTTCTGTCTGCTGGTTCACTCCCTAGATAGCCACAATAGCTAGGGCTAGGCACCCTGCAGCCAGGAGCTTCATCTGACAAGGGCCCAGATATTTGACTTCTGGTGCTTGCCCAAGTGCGTTAGTAGAGAGCTGGAGCAGAGGTGGGACAGCCAGCACTTCATCTAGAACTTAAATGGGACACTAGCATTGCAGGCAGAAAGTTAATCCAGCCATTGTTGCAATGATTTTTAATACGTATAGCACTTGAGCTATCAGCCACAACTTTCTCAGGCTCATAGGTTGGGAGCTGGATCCAAAGTGGAGCAGATGTGAGATGAATCACAGGAACTAGCATTCCTATGAAATGCTCATGTTGTGGCAGCAGCTTAGTTTTCTGCAACACAGTGCAGGTTTCCAGACACTTCTTTTGCACTCATCCTATTGAGTAATAATAATATAGGAAGCCTGCAGTGTAAGTTCTCAGTATGATTCAGCTATCGTTATGTATTCCACTTTCTGCTTTCAACTGTTGACTTCATACTTCTTCCTTTTAAAGTCAGAATCCACTCTAAAATTTATATGCCAGAGGCGTTTTCCTTCTTCCCTCTTCCTGCATACTCCCTGCAGCACACAGCCATGTACAGTGTGTCTAGCAGCAGGGCATTCTGAAGTCTTCTCCCTGAGGAGCTGTTTCATGGAACAACAGCAGGCTGTGGAGAATCCTGTGCTATCTGCACTTCCATATGGAACAGCTCTGAAAACTAAGGAGGGTGTTACTTGTATAAAGAGTTCTGCTACCCTTAAAAGAGTTGACAAACCATTGCCTCAAAACTTGGACTTTATGGGCCCAGCCGTGTGGCCTAGCGGCTAAAGTCCTCATCTTGAACGCGTCGGGATCCCATATGGGCATCAGTTCTAATCCCGGCAGCTCCACTTTCCATCCAGCTCCCTGCTTGTGGCCTGGGAAAGCAGTCAAGAACAGCCCAAAGCCTTGGGACCCTGCACCCGTGTGGGAGACCCGGAAGAAGTTCCTGGATCCCGACTTCAGATCAGCATAGCATCAGCCGTTGCACTCACTTGGGGAGTGAATCATCGGACAGAAGAGCTTCCTCTCTGTCTCTCCTCCTCTCTGTATATCTGACTTTGTAATAAAAATAAATAAATCTTTAAAAAAAAACCTTGGACTTCATATTTGGAATTGTTTCTGGTCAGTAGGCAATTAGGATGAACCAGTGTTGTTTAGATCTTTGGACTTGTTAGAAGAATCCATAATTTTCCCCCTGAATTAAACTTTTAAAGAAACTGTACTCACTCAACCTTTCTAGATAATCCAACTGAAATTTAGGCTGTTTTTATCTCAGACTTAAGAGAGACTAGCCTAAAGTGTTCCTGAATATATCTCACAGTGTGTGAAGTTCCATGCATGTATAGTACATCTGCTGGTAGCTCGCCACATGAGCATAGCTCACCATATGAGCTCACAGCATGAGATTTTGGTGTTGATTCTTCAAATATAAAGTTGGCCTTAGGACAGGTGGGAGCCACAAGATTCGCAATATGAGTAATTATGGAGTATCCAGAATTTATTTGTTAGCATGCCAAGACTACCATATTGACAGTGGTTAAGATTTGCCCATTGTTTTGTTTCTATGTAGTAAAAGAAATGGTCATTCCGATGAGCTGTTATTCACTTCCTTGATTGGTCCCACCTTTTCCTATACTAAAATCTGTTTCCAGCAGAAGGTTAAGTTTCAGGCTTCCATCAGCGGTACCCTCAATGACTACTATTGTGAAAGGGAGCTGGGGCTAGAGTACTGAAAAGAAGCTCAGCTAGAGCAGATCTGACTTATCTCTTCTATGAACATGTAAAAACAGTATCTCAGACTTACTGTAGAAGAAATTACAAGTCTGTTTTTGGCTCATTGTCCCTTTTAAAGAGTATACTTGAACTTCGTTCTCATATTCGTTGTACTGTTTGGCTGTACCAACCTTTTATAGGTGCTAGGCTCAGCTTCATTAGGCTCTGTTTTAGGATGGCGCTTATAGCATGAAAGAACGTCTTACACATAGGCAGTCTTTGCTGTAAAGCCAGTGTGATGTCAGAAGTTAGTCACATAACCGTTGAATAATGTATTAGTTCTTCAGAAGACACATGGCAGGTCAGTATGTTGTACACTAGAGTCTCTTTGTTCTGCAAATACATGCAGTAATTAATTAAAACAGAAAACCAAAATCTCAGCCTACCCAGTGCTTAAGGTAAAGAAAGTTCCAAAATTTACTAACATTATTAAACCTTAAGATGCCTGTAGAATCCATCAGTGAGCAGAGTGGTTTAGCATAGCATAGTGCTAAGTTATACATTACTCATAGTTTCTTCTAAAGTTTTTGGTGTTCTTATCTTAACCTCAACAATTTCAGAAGTACATAAAGCCTTTGGGAGTGTTTTGCTTCTACAAAGTTTTTATTTTGTTTTCAATATACCTTTTGTCTTTAGTGAAGCCACATGTAGAATATAGAACTAGTTCAGAGCAGATAAACATGTTGAAACATTTCAGAATTTTTGCTATCTAGACGCTGGTGCCAAGCTGGGTAGGTTTGGATTTGGCACTTTATTTAGTAGCTGTATGATCATGGGAAGGTAGGCAGAATGAAGATAGTATAGGGTCTTGCAAGAGTTCGAATTTCTGTACGTGGCCGGAAGCCACTGAAGAATTATGAATAACAGGGGAATTACACTTTAAGATTGTGCTTTAAAATGTGACTGGTAGCTTTTGGAGGGCATAAACTGGAGTAAGGTGAGAATGGAGTCAGTAAAACAGTAAGCATGCCTCATATAAAAATAGCATGAGGATGACAAGAGAGACATGATGCCTGAGCTTTGAGGAATAGAATGCAAAATTAAATTTGAAAGAGATTGAAGTACAGATAAGACTGACGAGATGTGGCTAGCAAGGGAGGGAAGCATCCAAGTTGATTTCTGCCTTGGTTCTCAGCCATTCTGTGATGTTGTCAACCAAGGTGGTGGTTTTGGAAGATGAGATAAGGGTAGAACACAAATTTACAACCGAAAGCCATGTAAGTTGAAATATTCAGTGAAATATTCTGAAACTTAGAAACATAATATGGGGACCAGCGTTGTGGTGTAGTGGGTAGCACGTGGCAGCCCATGCCGGCGCTGTTTCATGTTCTGATCCAGCTCCCTGAGAATGGCCTGGGAAAGCAACAGTCCAAGTGTGTAGGCCCTTGCCTGCCCTACTTTCTGTGGGAATCCCAGGTGGAAAATCTCTCCTCCCTTTTTCTTAAAATAATAATAATAATAATAATAATTGCTTTTTAAAAAAATAGATCATCTGAGTTTGAGATAATTTGTGTGTTTTGATGGAACCATACAAGTGGATTGCTGTATAGGAATAAAGTGAAGGATGAAGTGAAAGTTGAGAGCAGATGCCTTAATAGGAGCCGTGAAGGTAGAAAAGATATTCTTTTTTTTGTTTGTTTTTTTAAGATTTATTTATTTATTGGAAAGTCAGATATACGAGAGGAGGAGAGACAGAGAGGAAGTTCTTCTGTCCAATGATTCACTCCCCAAGTGAGCGTAACAGCTCGATGTTATGCCGATCCAAAGCCAGGATCCAGGAACTTCTTCCGGGTCTCCGACACGGGTGCAGGGTCCCAAGGCTTTGGGCTGTTCTTGACTGTTTTCCCAGGCCACAAGCAGGGAGCTGGATGGAAAGTGGAGCTGCCGGGATTAGAACCGGCGCCCATATGGGATCCCAGGATGTTCAAGATGAGGACTTTAGCCGCTAGGCCACGCTGCCGGGCCCAAGATATTCATTTTTAAGATCACTCTAATAGATGAGATTTCTGTTTAGACATTCTCCATGTGAATTAACCTATGTAGTTGTCCAAAAGGGGTGTTTAGTAGAAAGCTGAAAGTTTTATTATTTTTTTTAAAGATTTGTCTATATATTTTGAAAAAGTTACAGAGAAAGGAAAAAGAGGGGTGGAAGATCTTTGAGGCTCTGGTTTACTTCCGCTGTGACCACAAGAGCCAGCACCGAGCCAGCCAGAACCAGGAGCTTTGTCCAGGTCTCCCAGATGGGTAGCAGAGGTCCAAGCACTGGGACCATCTTCCACTGCTTTTCCCAGGCCAATCATAGGGCTCTGGGTCAGAAGTGGAGCAGTTGGGGACTTGAACTAGTGACCATTTAGGATGCTGGCATTGCAGGCCAACAGCTTTACCTGCTTACAGCCATGAGGCTGGACATAATATGTGCATAGGGAAAAAGAACTTCACTGTAATTTTTTTTATGGAAAAATTCATATGCCAGGGTGTCTTTATATTTCCTGATAGAGAAATTTCTTAGACTAGTGAGTGTGGAATAGTTAGAAATATGTTCATGGTTTGGATCAAAGAATAATTTTTGTCAAAGATTTGCTTATGTTACTTATATATATTGTTTTTATGTATATATTGTAGCACTGAAGATGGCTGTGGTAGATATCTATCATTCCAGATTAAAGGAGAGACAAAGACGAAAAAAGTAAGTATGAAAAACTGCCAGCCTTCTTGGAGCTGTAAACTGTTGACAGCGTCTAGTCCGTAGCAGTGCTCCACTCATATCTCATCCCATGTATCAGGCCCAGCACGGTAGCCTAGCAGCTGAAGTCCTCGCCTCGCACATACCAAGTCCTATACGGGTACAGGTTTTAATCCTGGTGGCATTGCTACCCATCCAGCTCCATGCTTGTGGCCTGGGAAAGCAATCGAGGATGGCCCAAAGCCTTGGGACTTTGCCCCTACGTGGAAGACCCAGAAGATGGGTCTGATCCTGGCTCCTGGCTTCTGATCACCTCAGCTCCGGCCATTTTGGCCACTTGGAAAGTGAATCAATGGATGGAAGATCTTCCCCTCTGTCTCTCCTCCTCTCTGTATATCTGAGTTTCCAATAAAAATAAATAAATCTTTAAAGAAAAAAAAAACACTTTCAAAGGTCGGTACTATGGCTTGGCTGACTAATCTGCTGCATTCCGTATTGGTGTTAGTTTGAGTCCTGGCTGTTCCACTTCGATCCAGCTCCCTACTATTGGCCTGGGAACGTCCAATGGCCGAGGTGCTTGGAACATCCTCACCTAGATGGAAAACCTGGAGCAAGCTCCTGGCTCCTGACTTTAGCCTGGCCCAGTCCCAGTCATTGCGTCCATTTGCGGAGCGAACCAGTAGATGGACGACCCCTCTCTCTAACTCAACCTTTCAATTAAAAAAAAGAAAGAATATGTTTATGTTTAATGTTTATGTTTTCAGGCTTAGATGTTGCAGATTAAGTCCCCTAGTGGGTTATAGAGATTTTAACAGTCCAGAGATTTCCAGAGGGGTTGTGTGTATGTAGACATAGAGGCTGCTGTCATGTTACTGGTTATAGACGTTGAGGTGTCTCTGCAGGTGAAAGGGGAGGGTTGTGGGGGACATTCTTGAGGAACCCAGATGTGATTTAAACTAAAAATGGCTGTGTTCTGTGTCTGAAGTTAGCAGCCATGAAAGTGCCAAGGTGGCTTACCTGGTGCTCTGAGAAGCTTCATGCTGCCCATGAACACCCGTGATGGAAATTATGGGCTGTAGTCACATAGCCCAGTGTAGTTTGCTGAAATTCTAATTTGCTTAAAACACACGTTAAGACAAGGGTGCTGCATGTCCCGATTGTGGAGGTTGTTACTAGATCTCCTGTTTCATGATGCCCTTGCATTTTGCTTGCACCAAGTGTATTTACTTGAGTGCTTTTGAGTGCCGTGGGAATGGTGGTGTGATGGTGCCTGCGTGATCATGGTGCCTCTTTATGGTTAGCGTGGTTTCCATAACGTGGTCCTTCTCAGTGAGCATTTCCACAAGAGGAATGGATTGATTTTATGGTGCAGACAGAGATTCCCTTCTGTTTCCCCTTAAGTGGCTGACAGATGTTTTTCAGTTTTTGTGAGAGACAGTTGATTCATTCACCGATTAAGTAGTTACTGAGAGGCAACTATGCCTGCTGTGCAGGAGATCCCGAGCTCTTGCTAGCGACGCACTGTTGTGCATGGGTTTGTGGGGGTTGCCTGCTTCGGACCTTGATGTTACACCTCAGGGTGTCTAGGATGTCTGAGAAAAGGTACGTGCAGGGGATATTACTGTGAAACTAATCCTAACAGGTGATCGTGGTTCTCATTTTAGAATTATACGAGATCATGGATTAATCAACCTCAGGAAGTTTCAGTGTAAGTATTATCTTTTGCTTATTGTGCAGTTTTTCTCATTACCTTTGAGTCGTTTTTAACAAATTTTTGATGACAGTGTTTCTTATAAATCCAGGTTGCATGCTAGTACTTAGAAAAGTTTTAAAATTTTGATGCTTTGATGATCATTCCAGACTTATTAAATCTGAATCACTGGGAATAGAGCTAGAGCATCTGTACTTTTAAGGTCTTCAAGGCATTCTGATCTGTAGTGGGAGGTAAGGACTCTTAATATATAATCAACAACATTTAAATGAGAATTCTTTCTTTAAAATTAGTGTAGTAATTACAGCATGAATATTAATGGATCAATTGCTGGATAATCATTTTGAAATGTGTTAGAATAACCTTGATCTTCAACTTGTTAAAAGTATTTTTAGAAACAGCAGCAGAGTGCCTATAACTTTACGTGGTGGTAGAGAAACACAAATGCCACTTAACATTGTATAATGATAATAATATATAATGGCTTTAAAATTGTTAACTTTGATATTACCATTTTAAATTTTTCGCCACGTCTCTTTTTTTCTACTATATAGTCAGTCAAATGGGATCCTGATGCGTTCAAGGCGAGGACCTTAACTGCTACACATCGCGCCAGGCCCAATTTTCAGTTTTTAAATCATTGAATTAATCATGTGATAAAACTTGTTTGTGAATAATAAATATATGTCTATATTTAGGTTTTGGTGGGGTTTTTGGTTTTGGTTTGTTTTGATTACTTTGTTATATTCCTGGACATAGAATAGGCCAGAAATTATGATCATTAAAAAATCTGTGGCCTACACTGCTAGATTGCTTTCTAAAATATGATTGTATGAATTTATATTCCTTCTAGCAGTGTATGAGCTTGCCTGTTTAACTCTGTCTTCAAGAAGACTTATGGATTTATAACAATAATTTAATATCAGATTTCAATAGATGATAATTAGCCATAGTGTTGTAGTATGGATCCTGGATTCCTTTACCTGAATTCCTGTATTTTCCGTATATAAACATCAGTTATTTTGATGTTTATTCTAGTAGACATTGACTTTTGCATAAATTCTATTTTACCTGGCACACAGAGGTCACTCTGGCTTCATGTCTCTGTTCAGTTTGTTTTTCCCGAGGAGAGGGCTGAGGGGAAGCCCCCTTCTCAGACGTAGAAGTAGAAAGTGCATTGAGGTTTTAGAGGTACTCAGTTGCCACTACACTGAATATACTGGGGACTTTATTATAGTTGTGGAAATTTTTTGTTCAAATTGTAAAAATTTTACTCCAGATTCATTAGTGTTGCCCCCATGGTGAGGGCTCTTTCTGTAGTGAAAATAAAAGTCGATGGCTGATCATCCAATCCATCATTGGTATTTGTAGGTAACAATGTGTCATGCAGGAGAACAAGAAGATTCATCTAGAAAGAGGATTTGAGTAACTGTCATTATTTAATGAAAGCCTGTAGCTTTAAACTATACAGAATTAATCTTATTACCTTGTTGATTATCTGATGATTAAAATGATCAAATAGCAGATTGAGAGATCCTGGCTGTGCCAGCCTTCCAGTTTTGACAGTGGCTCCCCACCTGGGCAGGTGCCTCCTTTGATAGCAAGTTCAGGCAGCAATGGTCTCCAGAGTCACTGACTAAGGTTACGGTGCATGTGAGACCATGTACTGTATAGCAGGGAAGTACAGCGTCATTAGTAGTGAATTAAAGCACAATGCTTAGTTTCGTCCAGAGAAAGGCAGTATGGCCCACATGGAGAGTAAAGAAACATTCCTTACTTGGGAAGTGTAAGTAAAGAGACGGTTCCAAGTAGAGCATGAAGGAGAGCACACATTTTTTCCCAGCCCTTATGCCTCTTTTGCTTCAACTACCATGTTTCCAGATTCCTAATTGCAGAAATTTTGGCCTGTGTTTTTTCTAAGGAGGCACAATCTACCTTTATCTTTTCCCTGGCTGCCAGGATTTCTTACCCTGACGATGAGGTGTGGAGCCCAGTAGTGCCAGGGAGTAGAGATAGTCTCCAGTGATAAGGAGATCTTTGTAGCTGCTCTGATGCTGTTATTGTGGTTAATATTTTGACATTCATAACGTTATGCTTGTGTCATGGGTGAGTTACTTATGTGAAGTCAAGAATAAAAATGTGTCATTTCCCTTGTTATTAAAAAAAAAAAGTAGAAAATGTAAGGATCTCACTTGCTCCCAAAAATACTTGTGTTTTACTTTCTCTGTAGTGATGGAACGGCGGTACCCCAAGGAGGTTCAAGACCTTTATGAAACAATGAGGCGATTTGCAAGGATTGTGGGACCAGTAGAACATGACAAGTTCATTGAAAGTCATGCACGTAGGTGGTTTTAGACCTTGTTAACCAAGTATCTGTGTGTGTGTCTATTTAGAAATAATCATGTATGTTATATGAAGTTTTATAAACGAAGAGGTATTTTTTTCTTTATAAAAAAAAAAAAAAGAGAAGGGTTTTTTTTATTGGAACAGCAGATTTACAGAGAGGAGAGAAGATCTTCCCTCCACTAGCTCACTCCCGAAGTGGCTGCAACAGCTGGAGCTGAGCCAATCCAGAGCCAGGAGCTCCTTCCAGGTCTCCCACATGGGTGTAGGGTCCCAAGGCTTTGGGCCATCCTCTGCTACTTTCCCAGGCCACAAGCAGGGAGCTGGATGGGAAATGGAACAACCTGGACTTGAATCACTGCCTGTATGGGATCCCAGTGCTTGGCGGTAGAGGATTAGCGAATCAAGCCATTGAGCTAGACCCAAAGAAATAATTTGTCTTTATTCCTCCTATTGCCATGAGACTGTGAGTCTGTGAGACTATTGTGAGACTGTGGAAGTAGAACAAGACAATACAATATAATAAACCCCACATACCCGTATCAAAGCTTGGCTTAAACATGGGAACAGAGGTGGGTCAGCACTGTGGTATAGCAGATAAAGACACCGCATTCCATATGGACACCAGTTTGAATGCCAGCTGCTCCACTTTCAGTCCAGCTCCCTGCCAATGGCCTGGTAAAGCAGCAGAGGATGACACAAATCCTTAGGCTCGTACACCTACATGAGAGACCCAGAAGAAATAAATAAAATAGTTTGGTTTTTTTTTTTTCTTATTCTTGTGGGAATAGACTTAGATTAAGTCTATTAGATAAAGAGATCTTCATCCACTGATTCGTTCCTGAAGTGACCAGAATGTCCAGAAGTGAGCTGGTGTGAAGTCAGGAACTAGGAGCTTCTTCCGGAATTCCCACAAGACTTGTGGGGGCACAAGCCACAGGACTTGAGTCATTCTCTGCTGCTTTCCCAGGTCTATTAGCAGGAAGCTAGATCAGAAGTGGAACCCAGGTCCTTTGCCATGGCTCTCCATCCTGTCTTCCTCTTGCAGCTGCTGCTTGCTTGGCACCACAGACATTATGTAAGCCAAGGTGGTTGTCCTCACCAGCATCTTCTTTGACACTTTTGCTGTCATTATCCCAGTTGATTGATCAGTTACTTTCTGTCCTGGTTTGTGTCACTCCCAATTTATGTATCACTTTGGAAAACTGTGCCCCAAAGATGCGCAGGCTCTCCTTTGTCCTCTGCTTCAAAAACTGCCACATGCGAGTGTTGTATCACATCATAAGCCATATAGTGCAGTGTGATCCCTGAACAGGGGCAGAAATCTTTGGTGTATGGACAGTTCCGTGCTCTTTTGTCACCGTAGGAGAACAGCTATAAAGGAACTAACTGGAGCTTGAGTGGAGAGCTTTTGTCCTTCTCTTGCATCAGGGCCACATTAGGTAATTCCAGAGACAGATTTTAGAATAGGACTGGTGATGTGAATAGGAATTTTAATGGAAGATATATACAACAAGAAAACTCAGATCCTTAAAAACTTAGATTCACTGCTTAGGATGCCTGGACCCATATGAGAGTGCCTGGTTCAAGTTCTAAGCCTCTGCATCTAACCCGACTCCCTGCTAATGTGTACCATGGGAGGCAGCACATGTTAGCTCGGCTCATTTTGTCGCTGGCACCACATAGGACACCCGGATAGAGATCCAGGCTCCTGGCTTCACCTTGGCCCTGCCTTGGCTGATGTAGGCATTTGGGGAATAAAGCTATGGATAAAAGATTCTTATTTCACTTTGAACATAGCTTTAAATTGTATGTTACCTTTAGAGACAAGTTCAGTCAATCCACTGTAAGTTTTTAAGGAAGAGATCTATTTATTTGCTAACTGTACAGATAACTGGAATAATTTTTTCTTAGCTCTTAGGTAAAAGTTCTAACGAGACATTACCAACAGATAGGATTCTCTTAAGTGTAATTGCCTAGCCTTCTCCACAGCAGAGTGGCTGAAAACACACAGCACATTCATGTTGTCCTTTTTTTTTTTTTTTTCATTCTATTCTTCTTGGAAAAACAGTGGAATTTGAGCTTCGAAGGGAAATCAAGAGACTCCAGGAATATAGGACAGCAGGCATCACCAATTTTTGTAGTAAGTATGTTGCAACCCTGTACTGTTTTAGAGGGCAAGTGTCTGCTTATTTTCTGTTAAGCATGCTTTCCTTTTTCAGAATGGGTTTTCAGTCTTTCCAGGAAAATTTCATGTATTTTACTCCTGTAAATACCTTTGTTTGGATTACCTGAGGTAGAATAAAGGTCATGAAACATAAAGAGAGGTGATACTTTATATTAAGGAGTCTGCCATGGTTCCTAATAAAAATGGATTCTATATTTCAAGCATTAGTCACCTTTGTAAATTTCTTCACTATTAAGGTTTATTAACCAAACTCAACTGGCTGTGGTACTTGCGTTCTAGTAACTTTAAATAATGGGCATAGTTGTATTAATAGCAGCTAACATCTGTCAGATGTTTACCACACACCAAGCCCTGTGCTAAGCATTTCACCTGGATTATGTCATGAAATTCTCATGACAAACTTACGGAGTACAGTTATTTTCATTTATTGAAGAATCTAAGGCTTAAAGAGATTAAAGAGCAAGTAAGTAATAGAGGAAGGCAGTGTGCTAATATAATATTCAGAGGCTTGAGGTGTGCTCTTGGACATCATAGACCGACTTCAGGCTCTCCTCTTTACTGGCTCTGAGATTCTATTCTAGTCTGAATTTTCTAGTCTCAAGTAAGTGTGAAGATGAAGGCAGAGGTATTGTGTGAAAGTGTAGTGCAGTAACTGGCTCATGGAAATCCTGCATGAATGGCGGTTTCTGTTGTTTTGCTGTTGGTGTTGGAATGATCTTTGGCATTCACTCCCTCTTCCTGTGTGAAGGCTGTTAGTTACCACCCACCAGAGGCGGCTGTGCTTGTAGCATGGCCCTGTGGGGATAAGTTCATCCTGGCACAACAGTGGAAATATGTTTGAAGTGAACTTTATGTGAAGCCTCAAACTACACATAAGATATAAGTGGAATTACTTGGGCTGACATTTGATATGTCACTGTCGTGTTGAGCCCAGAGCCTCCAGAGCTTGGCAAGACTTTGCTCTGTTAAACAGTTTGCACCCATTGTTACAGTGATGTGTAAGCTGGATACCTTTGTAGACAAATACTATGTAACTTCTTGGATGCATTCAGGTATAAAGGCCCAAGTTTAGTACCTTGAATTGTTAGGCTTTGGCAAATATTTGGAAGGAAAGTAATCAGTAGTGACTTTTTTAAAAATTCTGATTTGTTTGAAGTAACGTACATTTATGACTTGTGACATTGAAAGAGATATAAGTTTTTAAAAAGAACAGAAAGCATAACATAAGCACATAACATAAATAGAAAGTGGTTTTTTTTTTTAATCTATTTTTATTGGAAGGTGAGATATACAGAGAGGAGGAGAGACAGAGAAAAATCTTCTGTCCACTGGTTCTCTCCCCAAGCAGCCACAACAGCAAGAAGTGAGCTGATCTGAAGTCAGGAGCTAAGAGCTTCCTCTGGGTCTCCCACACAGGTGCAGGGTCCCACAGCTTTGGGCAGTCCTTGATTGCCTTCCCACGCCACAAGCAGGGAGCTGGATGGGAAAAAAGGCAGCCAGGACACAAACCAATGCCCTTATGGGATCTCAGTGTGTGCAAAGAGAGGACTTTAGCCGCTAGGCTACCACACCAGGCACAAATAGAAAGTTTTTAAGAGAAGTAGCCAATTGCTTAATGGTAGAAAGGGAATAAAAATATTGCATTTGGTGTTGTTTGCTTCTGGAAGAATAATTGGGAAAGCAGAACCAAGAGAGAACAAACCGGAATCTCCTCAGCTCTGCTTTGTTGTCAGTACAGTCATCATCTTTTCTTTTTTTTTTAATAATTCTTTTTAGATTTATTTATTTTAATTTGAAAGTCAGATATACAGAGAAAAGGAGATACAGAGGAAGATCTTTCATCTACTAGTTCATTTCTCAATTGGCCGCAATGGCCAGAGCTGAGCCGATCTGAAGCCAGGAGTCAGGAGCAGCTTCCAGGTCTCCCACGTGGGTGCAGGGTCCCAAGGCCTTGGGCCGTCCTCAACTGCTTTGACACATGCAACGCGAGTACTTTAGCCTCTAGGCTTCTGTGCCACGCCCTCATTGTCTTTTCTGTCCTTTCAGGTGCCAGAACCTATGATCACTTGAAGAAGACGAGAGAGGAGGAGCGCCTTAAACGCACGATGCTCTCTGAGGTTCTCCAGTACATCCAGGACAGCGGGGCGTGCCAGCAGTGGCTCCGCCGGCAGGCTGACATGTGAGCAGTCAACACCCCCTTCCGGGTGCTGTGGCCTGCTGCGGGTGCTTTTGAACCCTTTCCTGGTGCCCTAGATGCGGGTGAATGCTGTCCACCTTAGAAACAGTGCAGTGTTGACAGTTTTAAGAAATACAGCTGGCTTCTAAAATTCCCCTATGTTACTTTGTATTTTCAGCAATTAGCGAGCTTCCCCAGCCTCCTTGTTCTTTGTGTCTGTTGATGTGATCTTTGAGAATCCTGTTCCTAACCCTGCCCCCAGTGATGTCAGTGATGTTCCAGGGCTAATAACTTTCATTTTATTCCATTTTTTTTTTAATTTTTATTTTTCATGCTACAGTTCCATGGGCTCAGGGATTTTTCCCTGCCACCCTCCCTATTCCCCTTCCCCGACTGTTTTTCCCCGCATTGTTGTAATGTATAGTCCTTCGTAACAGTCACAAGTCCATCATTAAGTGTATGGTGGCATCGTAGGTAAATACAGACAGTGGTAGGAAGTCCAGTATCCTATTGTTAAGAAATATTTAATAGTTTCATTGGGAGTCCATCTTTTGTTTGCGAATGGAGATGCATACTGTAATGTATCTTCTTAAAAGCTCTTCTTAATGGGTGAAGGAGTTTTAAATTTTCTCTCAGGACAGATTTTCCTTCCTAGTAAGTATAGTGAGATATCCTGTAAAACATAATGCAGTCTCCTTACCTTTCTTCAAAGCCACTGACCTGCTGAATGGTCCCTAATCCCACAGGGGCTTTGCAAGTGACCTTGTTTGCTGTGACCTAAATCTAAATTCCTCTTCTTCACTGCAGTGATTCTGGCCTGAGTCCGTCTGTTCCGATGGCTTCAAATTCAGGTAATTGTCAGGTTTGCGTCCTCAGTGTGATTGTGACCCAGAATCCTCCCTCGGGTGGGGCAGACACGCAGCAGAGTGTGGGAATCGGGTGTTCTTCCAGTTGGCCAGCGTCTGCAGGATTGCAGAGTCTTCCTGAGTGGAGAGGAGGACGGCAGAGGCAGGGAGAACAGCGGAGAGGGAGCTTCTGCTTTCACCAGTGTCAGTGGGCGGTTAGTTTATGGCGCTTGCTGAAGGATAAAAGGTTGTATGCTTCCAGTATGTCCCTGCCAGAAACCTGAAAGCTTCTTAATAAGATTTTTCTGTTTCTTAGCTTTACCTCTTTGGACATGTCCTATTTTGAAGTCAGTATACAGAACAGGATGAAACTGCTTGCTCTTTGATGATTTTGGTGTGTGGTAATCAGTGACTGGAGATTTGGAGAGACATCAGTTGTAAATCTCTGAGCCGAGATCATAAGTGGTTTGCTTTTGGTTTGTTGTATTTTTTATAATTTGTTAATTTGAAAGGTAGAATTATAGAGAAAGCGAGATCTTCCAACTCCTGGTTCACCCGGCAAATGGCCAGAAGCCAGGAGCTTCCTTTGGATCTCCGTGTGGGCGCAGGGCCATTAGCAGGGAGCTGGATTGGAAGCAGAGCAGCCTGGACACCAATCCGTGCTCATCCGTTGCAGGCAGCAGCTTTACCCGCTGCAGCACGACACCGTTCCCCGTGGAGTGCTATGCTTATTCCTCTTGGCAGTCATCTCCCGCTGCTGCGTGCGAGAGACTGGCTGTGGTGCCTCATTAGAACATGCGGATCATTCTCTTCATCTGAGACAGAGCAGCCATTCTGCCATTCCCTGTTGGCTTGGACAGCAGGCTTTCTGAAACCTCTGAATAAATTGGGGCGCAGAAAGGATTCAGATAAGGTCACCTTAGGGGGTGTTTGGTGTGTTTTGAGGTTTCTTTTCTCCTTTTATTCCTCTGTTCAAGTAATTATTCCTTAAAGCTTAAGAGAGAGAAGGGAGATGTTTAAGGAGTCACCAAGACTGAAATCCAGGTTTGATTTTACAGATTTCTTACTTTGAACTACTCCTCTAAACACAAAATATACAAGCAACTTAATACTGGTTAATTAAAATGATTGGTTAATTGACATGATCATTCAGTTCTGGTGTTTGAGTTTCTGGATCATCTGCACTCAATTACGGTTTCTTACTGGGCTGGCATGGGCTTCTTCACCCTTAGGCTGAGGAGACCCCTGGTCATTTGGGCTCCTGGTTATTCTTAAGATAATGAAATATGAGAAGTCTGGCATCATTAGTTGTAGCCTAACATCTGGTGACTTAGGAGGCACCACATCACAACGTTCTATTTCTTGGGGGGAGGGTGGGAATCCCAGCCTATATGAAATTGTACATATAATTCAAAAATAAAAATATGTTTGAAAAAAAAGATCTTATTTCTTTTGGACCATTTGGACCTTTTTCCTTTGTTGGTACTCCTGAAAGCCCTATTTTCCCATAGATCAGCTTGTAACAGTCCCTCCTCTTTATTTGCCCAACCCAAAAGAACTGTGAAACTGATGAGCATTCCGCATGTTGTTCTGCGTACCTTGCTCTGTGCATCCCCAGCTGAATCCTTATCCCAAACACAACCAGAACAGTTTTGCACATCACGCCTCTCCTCTTGGCTTGGCAAGTGACTTCTTGCTTGGGTTTCTTTGTCAGTTATGTGAGTTGACCTTAGCCCCTGCTTTGCGATATAATGGCTCATTGTTCGTAGGAGTGGATCTTGCAGGTAAACAGGGCTACTTTTGAAGGAACAGATACTCACTCACATAATAAATAAGAAGGGCTTTTTGCTGGCCTAACAGTCTGTCTTTGATCTGAAAGCTTAAGGTACTTGGTTAATTACCATGTTTACAGAGTCCTGCTGGCAGCCTGTGAGAATTAGGGAATGTCTCTGGTGCAGAGCGGTTCTTTCCATTCAGCAGCTCTCAAGGCAGGCACTGTGTGACCTTCGCTGGATGACATCCAAGCTTCAGAAGGCACATTGTCCTCGGTTTGATGGTCTCTGCTGCAGGGAGTAGGTTTTCTGGATGCTAAGGTGCATGTGTGTGTACCTGCATTTCAGCATAGCACAGGATACATGAATTGTCATTTTCATTTTCAGGTGAGCGCTGCAGCAACCATGTTGCCACTAAGCAGTCCCAAGGGGCTGGCTTGAGCTTTCTCACTTCAGGGTATTACAATCCCATACTCAGCGTGTCTGCCTGCACTGGACTTCATTATAGTTTATACCTGACCAGTTGTCACTGCTTTTCTTTGGTGTCTGTAGGTAGACGGAGTGCACCACCGTTGAACCTCACTGGCCTCCCTGGCACAGAGAAGCTAAATGAAAAAGAAAAAGAGGTAAGATAAAGGAGGGAAGGGGGTTAGAGGAAAGAGGGACAGATTGTTCACTTGAGTTGTAACCAAAAACACATTACAAGTTCATATGAAAACAAACTCTGTACTTCCACAGAAAAATTTTGGAAGGTGTATTTATTAAAAGACCCAGGGTGACAGAAAGACATCTTCCATCTTGTTTCATTTTCCAAATTGCTGCAAAGGTCAGGCTGGCCCAGAGAAGCCAGGAGCCAGGAACCGCATCCTGTGCTCCCAGCTGAGTGGCAGGAACCTGAGCATTTGAGCAGTCTTCCCCTGCCTTCCCATGTGCAGAAACAGCAGCCAAGACTCCAGCTGGCACTCCAACATGGGATGCCAGTGCCACAAGCAATGGCTTACCTCACTGTGCCACAGTGTCAGCCCCTTTGTATGCTAACTCATGACTCTTACCGTAAAAAGATGCCATGACCCACTTCTTTGCCAGTGCAGCCACCATTTGTCTTGGTGGGTTTTTTGGGTGTTCTAAATATTAAATCCAACTTCATCCGAGGCAATATCAAAAGTTTGCAATGCATATTGACTCTGCAGTCCCTTCCAAGAATCTGTCTTGTTCCTTTTACATCTCCCCTCGCAGTCTCTCAGTTCCCTGGGAGGGCTACTATTCCTATTCATCCATCAGAACAGTAAAGAGTGGTCTGATAATAGAAGGAAATATGTGTTGCATCCACATATTGCTGAAGAATGTCACAGGACAGTCTGATTGAAGTGTTGAATGGCCTGGAATGGGCAAGCATTTTTGTCTTTCCCCACATGATGATGACCTCAGAATACTTGTTGCTGGGTAATGGCAAGTGAACTGGAATTGAGCCAACTTCCTAGATTTTTACTAATTACAGTGGCTGCTGCTTGTCTCTATATCTCCTTTCCCTCCAAAAAAGGAAATGCCACAAAAGCAGGGGCTGCTGCTTTATGCCAATTCTAAAAATGCTGTGATCCACACGTGAGAGTCCAGGTGTCGGCATGCCTGTTGTACTGTGCATTGGATGCTTCCCTAACTCTTCACATGGTCCCAGGCATAGGAGCTTGACTCCTGCCTGAGCCAGCAACTGCTCTGAGCACATCCTTGGATTTCCAAACGCAGGTCCCTGAGCAGCCTGCCCTGGCCAAAGGCTCTCGTGGCATTGCACCCTGGCCCTTTCTTCCTGGGTGTCTGTCCTTAGGCAGTGTTCTCTCAATAGAGGAGACTAAATGGAATGTGGCCCGGCCACCCCACAGCTCCTATAAATAGTTGGAGGATGAGGTCACCTTTTTTTTTCTGAACCTGCCGAATTAAACTGTGAGAATGACAGATGTTAATGTCTGTGAAATTTGTCGTGTCTTGCAGCTCTGTCAGATGGTGAGGTTGGTCCCTGGAGCCTATTTAGAGTACAAATCTGCACTCTTGAATGAATGTAACAAGCAAGGAGGCTTAAGGCTGGCCCAGGCAAGAGCACTCATCAAGATAGACGTGAACAAAACCCGGAAAATCTATGATTTCCTCATCCGAGAAGGACACATCACTAAAGCCTGAGGCTCTGATGGGCTGGGGTCAGAAATCACACATTTGGAATGTGGTTCACAAGACGGTGCGGGCCCCGAGTTCTCCATGTGAAAAGCGGCGGAGGGACAAGGAACCCTGAAGACATGTTAATACCCACTACCTTCTCCACCCCGCTTTGAAACACTCCTGATGTCGGTGTTGTGCTGCATATGCTATTATTAAATGTGAGTGGGCACTCATTCCTAGCACCTCTTGTAACTAAAAGCAGAACCATAGTACCTCACATCACAGTACTGGTAGAAGTAAAACCAAACCACAGTCTTTGGTCAAGAGTCCAGCTCAAATCCCTGTACTTGAGATCCAAGTTGGTCTCGTACCTGTTTTGCCTTCAGGCTGCAGACGGATTTTAAATAAAGAGAAAGGTTTTTAGAGTGTGAGAAAGCTGTCTTTCCTTCCAAGGATTTTTTTTTTTTAAGCTGACAACTTATATTTAAGAGCAGAGGGGAGGAAGGTCTCCCCAGCTGGTCTTATCCAAGCTGCATTTTTAACTGTTATGTCTGGCTTTGTACTTCCCAGTCTAGCTGCCTGTTCTGCAGTAGACTTTTGAGGAGGTGGCACCAGATATGAAATGTCTCTGTTATTTTTAGAGTTAATGGATTAAAATGTTTTTGCTATTTAATTTGTGGGTGTGTCAGATATCGGGGTGTCAGATGCCCACCCCATGCGCTGCACTGTCCTTGCACGTGTCCTGAACTCACCTTGTTCTTCCCTGGGTTTCCACTGAAGATGCAGATGATGCAACTAATCTCGGCTTTGCTTGGACTGAGGTTGGACCCTGGCTTCTCAAGGGTGGAAAGCCGGCCTGCAATAAAAGCTGTTTTAAAACAAGCGTAAAGCAGCTTCGTATGCGAGGCTCATTAGATACAAGGGTGAGTAGTCCCACCACATCTGAAATTTGATCCTCAAGCCTTTCTGCAGAAGCAGCAGCCAAACTCAGAGTCATGGTTATCTCATTTCCATCAGAAGCAGAGTTGTGTATAGAATCTGCGCCACTTGTGCCCGATAGCTGTTCCTCCAACAGGGAGACATCTATTAAAACAGTGTGTACTTTGTGGAAAGCACCTGCTCACATGTTTCCTGAGGTAAATGATTGTGCAGCTGGCTAATAGACCTCATCTTGAGGAAGAGAAAAAGGACACTCTTAGGATCTGAGGGAATTCAGATGGGGGACTTCGAGTTTAACTATGGCTTGTGGAAATAGGCTCTTTTCTTTCCATAGTCATCTCTCTTAAGATATTCCACCACTGCTGTCAACCTATTTGGCTATGAAGGGATTACCCGTTTTTGATGGAAGGTGATTCCTATTCTGATAATTTTCATTGCATTAGATGTCAGTGTCATGCGATGTCTGTTGTAGATTGAGGAGTCCTTCAATAAGGAGGGCTTTTTTGGAGAGGTGGGCTTTTGAGGCAGTAAAAAAAAATGAGGGGGAGAAACAAATGGCAGATGGAATGGGAGACTGTTCCAGACATAGGGGGTGGGAGACAAGTGGAGGCAGGAATGGGAGTAAGGAAATTGTGCCAAGAGGTTGATTTGGCTGGAACACACAGGGGGCAGCTGTGGTAGCTGAATGGGAGGACTGTCTAATGGAAACCTTGCACTTGAAAAAGTTGCGGGGAATCATTTGATAATGAAAATGACATAGTAGAAGGTAGTAAGAAAATAACTTACTGACTTATTCCAAATGACTAGATTTCAAACAGTAGGAATTCAACTTTGTAAAAATGTAAAAACTTAATTGGTTTCCCCAAAACCAAGCTGTATTTTGGATAAAGAACATTGTTCAGTGTCACTGATCTTACAGCGATAGACTTGGTGCACAGAGCTGATAATAACACGTGTGGACTCTGATGGTCAAAAGTCAAAGTGTGTGTTTTGTTTTAAGTCATATATATATAGAGAGAGGAGGAGAGACAGAGAAATATCTTCCATCCAATGATTCACTCCCCAAGTGACCACAAGGGCCAGAGCTGAGCCAATCCAAAGCCAGGAGCCAAGAGCCTCTTTAGGGTCTCCCACGCGGGTGCAAGCTTCCAAGGATTTGGGCCTTCCTCGACTGCTTCCCGCAGGGAGCTGGATGGCAAGTGGGGCTGCCAGGATTCTAACTGGCACCCATATGGGATCCTGGAGCATTCAAGGCAAGGACTTTAGCTGCTGGGCCCGAAAGCAGTAGCTTATTAGTGGCATCAGACTTTATAAACTGAGGGTCATATGGGATAAGGAAGGAGGTATTGAGCTTATCAACAAAACCCATCAACTGTTTCTATACTCTTGTTTGGAATTCTCTTTTTTTTTTTTTAAGGATTTATTTATTTTTATTGGAAAGTCAGAGATATAGAGAGAGGAGGAGAGACAGAGGAAGAGCTTCCGTCCGATGATTCACTCCCCAAGTGAGTGCAACGGCCGATGCTATGCCGATCCAAAGCCAGGATCCAGGAACTTCCTCCAGGTCTCCCACGCAGGTGCAGGGTCCCAAAGCTTTGGGCTGTCCTCGACTGCTTTCCCAGGCCACAGGCAGCGAGCTGCATGGGAAGTGGAGCTGCCGGGATTAGAACCGGTGCCCATATGGGATCCCAGAGCATTCAAGGTGAGGACTTTAGCCACTAGGCCACGGTGCCGGGCCAGGAACTCTTTTTTTTTTTTTTTTTTTAATCCCACCAAGTTTTCTAATTCACATGCTTTCCACTCAACTGTTCTCATACAGATGATATACAATCAGTTATACAAAAGGTATCCATTCCGTCGTTCTCCTGCAAAGGATATCCAATCAGTCACACAAATGGCATCCATCCAGTTGTTCTCACACAAGTGTTATCCAATCGATTGTAATCCTGTGCTCGCTGACCTAGGGTCACAATGTCCTTCTACACTTCGGTGGAGTTACAGAGTCAGTATCTTTTTGTCTTTATGATAGAAAGATACATACTGATATTTGATGTGACTGCCTGTAATTATTCCTTTTCCTGTTCTTACACCTAGACAAAGCTGCTTTTCATCACTGAAAATCCAGAGCTAGCAAATAACATTACATCCCTCCTCTTTGCTTATAGACCCAGTTGACTATAAACCAACCTCACTGTCAAAAGTCCCTCCATGCCAGGTCACCTCAAAAGTGTGAGAACCTAAGGAGGGTGTTTTGTTTTCAAAGATTGATTTATTTATTGGAAAGTCAGATATACAGAGAGGAGGAGAGACAGGAAGATCGTTCGTCCGATGATTCACTCCCCAAGTGAGTGCAGCGGCCGATGCTATGCCGATCCAAAGCCAGGATCCAGGAACTTCCTCCAGGTCTCCCACGCAGGTGCAGGGTCCCAAAGCTTTGGGCCGTCCTCGACTGCTTTCCCAGGCCACAAGCAGGGAGCTGGATGGGAAGTGGAGCTGCTGGGATTAGAACTGGCGTCCATATGGGATCTCAGTGTGTGCAGAGAAAGGACTTTAGCCACTAGGCCACGGCCGCTGGGCCCTAAGGAGTGTTTTAACACAATTTAACACTAAATGTTTCTGATGTAGTTCTATGCATGACCTTCTCAGTGGTGGGTAACAGAGAGCAGATCTCTTGTGATGACTTTTTCCATTACTTTAAAACTGATGTCTGTTTTGTGGTGCAGTAGGTTGCATGCCAGTTGCCTGCATCCATTTTTGTGGTTCTTTAACTTCCAGTGCGGCTTCCTGCAAGTGGGTCCTGGAAGGCAAGACTGATGGCCTAAGTGTTTGGATCCCCACCCCCACTGTGGGAGATTTGGGTGCAGTTCTGGGTTCCTGGCCACCCCTGGCTTGTGCCGGTACTGAGGAGTGAACCAGCCTATGGAAAAAACCAGTCTCCATTTCTATCTGTGTCTCTCTCTTGCTCTGCCTTTGAGATATATCAAAGTAAACATTGTAAAAAATTAGGAAAGGCTATCTCAGAGACCAGTTCATACAAATATTCAGGCTTATCTTTCCCAAAATCAATTGCCACTCCCTTTCTTGCTTACTCCCTTACCCTGCTTTTTTAAAACCTGCACTGCGTTAAGCAGCGAGTCCTTGCACTCTTCCTCAGCTGGTGTGTTAGCTGACGAAGGGGGAACAGCAATGGCATTCTTCAGTTACAGTAGAGTCCCAGCTGGGTAGTCAGTGTAGCTTTAGGAAGCTGCAATGTCCAGTGTGAAGGAAGAGGCCCAAATTACACAGCTGCTTGTAAAACTAGTTCCTGTTTACCTCTAAAATATGCTCTAGGCAGAAGAGTGGAATTTGTTCTGAATAGTATTCTGGAACATCACATATTCATCTTTAAGTGTGTTCTTGTATACCTTCTAAATAAATACTTCGTTATTGTTGGCAACACAGCTTTCCTCCAGCTTATGTATACTTGGGTTTTGCTTGTCTGCAATTGAGAGCTACCCTTCTGGAAGCTTAGCTTTGCTTTCCAGTGAGCTTAAGCAAGGCAGTCAGTGGGGCCCTGCCATGTCTGTGGCCTTGTGTGGAAGGTGGCCCAGCTATGAAGAAAAACTTGTCTTCAGTCAGATATGGTAACCACGGTTTTGGAGTACAAATGCATAGAATCTCTGTTCCAGGAGTGCCAGGCCAGCCTGAGCAGTACCAGCCACACCAACATTCATGCTTGCTTTGGGAATGAGAGTGGGGAAACGCGGTTAGCTAGGGTATATTTTGGAACCAAATACCTTGTCCTTGACATGTGTCTGTAAGAATTGAATCGTACATAGACTGCCTCTTGGGGGGGCTGAGTGCTGGTTCCTAAGAGGTCAGGGCAGCCCCTTTGTCTCCTGGCCTGCAGTTCTTCCCTGTTGCTCACTTGTTGCCTTGGCTTCCAGCAGTTGAGGTGTACTGCAATGAAAGAGTGTCAGCTGCCCTTTGGTTTGGTTGACTGAGCTTACAAATCACACAGGTATGTAAGGGAAGGATGAATGTCTTGCATCTGACATTGTTTTGTCTGGATGAGTTATTTTCTTGTTATGTGTCTGTACTGGATCCCAGGTGAGAGTAGGAATAAGGAAGTGGAGATTGCGGACAAAAGGGCCACAAGAAGGTCTGAAACCCAAAGCTCAGAGCTGTAACAGTTGGATTTAGTTGGAATAGTCTGAAGATCACTGTACTCGCCCTTGTCCTTGAAAAAAGCTTGCAGTCAGACTTTGCAGGCCTGGAGCTGCTTTCAGGACAGGGTAACTGAGTGCGGCACACAGCTGCTACTTGGAAGCTCCAGGAATGGATTTTGGTGGCATCAAACTTAACCATTTGATTGAACTAGCCTCATTTGGTGCTAAGAGCTTAGTTTTCTCTCAAATGTTAAAATATTTTTATTGATTGTCATTTTATTTGAAATGTAGAGAAAGACATTTCCCATTTGCTGGTTCACTCCCCCAAATGTGTGTAACATTCAGAGTTGGGTCAGACCAAGGCCAGGAGCCCAGAACTAAATTTCGGTCTTCCGTGTGGTGGCGTGGAACTAAAGTACTCGAGCCAGCGTATACTGTTCTCCATGGAGTGCATTAGCAGAAAGCTGGAATTAGTAAGGGTGCTGGGACTTGAACCCAGGCACTGCAGTATGGGAAGTGGCATTGTAGGTGACATTTGAACCACTGTACCAAGTACTGGCCCCACTTCCTGATCTACTCTGTGGCAAGAAACTTGCAGATGCTTCCATAATAGTTCTGCGTAGATCCGGAGTTAAACAGAATCAACATCTTTGGAAGCGTAGTCTTCATCGTTTTAAGAAACCAACACTTTCAAGCAAAGATGTGGAAATGCTGTCGGCACGCTGATTCAGTGAGCCGACAGTTAAGTTCCACCTCTAACGTGTTTCTCTTCCCCTCGAAAAGCAGGATACCAGGCGCACTTCCCAAATCTGAAGTTGTGCAGTGACCCATACCTCTTCTGCTCAACACTACTGATTTGTACTCTTCCCTCTGTTTGTTAATCATTTGATGAATTTCTTAAAAATGAAATTAAAAAAACAAAACTAATGGAGCCTGTCTCTGGAACTTACATGCAACCAAATCCTGTTTAAGATAACTGATTTTTGGGCCCGGTGCAGTAGCCTACCAGCTAAAGTCCTCAGTTTGCTCATTCTGGGATCCCATATGGGCACTGGTTCTAATCCTGGTGGCCCTGCTTCCCATCCAGCTCCCTGCTTGTGGCCTGGGAAAGCAGTTGAGGACGGCCCAAAGCCTTGGGACGCTGCACCCACATGGGAGGCCCAGAAGAAACTCCTGGCTCCTGGCTTCAGATCAGCTCAACTCCAGCTGTTGCAGCCATTTGGGGAATGAAACACTGGACAAATCTTCCTCTCTGTCTCTCCTCCTCTCTGTATATCTGACTTTCCAATAAAAATAAATAAATCTTTAAAAAAAAAAAGATAACTGATTTTGAATAGTGATTAAAAAGTCTGATATCTTGAGGTTGGCACTGCGGTAGAACAAGCTAATTTCCCCCCTATGGTGCCGGCATCCTTGTGGGCACTGGTTCTAGTCCCAGCTGTTTACTTCCAGCCGGGTTCCTGCCACTGGCGTGGGAAAGCAGCAGAGGGTGGCCCAAGGGCTTGCTGCACCCATGTGGGAGACCTGAAAGAAGCTCCTGGCTCCCAGCTTTGGGCCAGCTCAGCTGGAAGATCTGTCCCTCTCTTCTGTAGCTCTTTCAACTGAAAAAGTAATTTCTTCATTTCCATTGCTAATCTTATCAAGTTGCTAAAGCTGAAAAGAGCAGTTTTCAGGGTGGTTTAATAGCTTTTCCCAAAAAGTTTCTGGAAAACAGTGAAGGAGCTAGTGCTGTAACTTAGTGGGTAAAACTGCGGACCGCAACACCGGCATCCTATATGCAGTTGCCGTGCCTGGGAAGGCGGTTGAGAATGGCTCAGATGCCCGCTATGTCGG